TCAGGGGTGCAAAGAGCAGTTTTAAGGAACAAGGTTGGTGGAGCCTACAATTCACTGTGCACACACTCTAGCCTAGCTGTGAACTTCATCGGTATACTGACTCAAACCAGTTAAAATAGGCCGTTCTTGCCACATGCACCACGAAGTCAGCTCAAAACGATACTCAGTCGGTGCGAATCCTTCCTTATGGAAGGTACCGTCTGCAGAATAGGCTCATGTTAGAATCTTGACATTCTCCAAAGTATACTTAAGCATCCTTAAGGGTTTCCACTTTTCTGGTAAAGAAAGCAAAAACACACTGAGAGAATGGAATATCTAGTAACCGGGAAAATCGCAGAACAATGACTGCATTGACTACAAAGGTTTATGCAAAGAAAGCAAGACTCCGAAGTCGCGTTTCACGAGGGGAAACTGAGAATTCGTAAACATCCCCTATGAACCTAAAACGACGAACATAGGTGACTGTGCAATCACCCAACATATTTAAACATAATTTAATATGGTTTGAAGGTAGACAGAAATTAGCCTGAGCCTACGTGCAAAATTTTGTCCCATTCTTCAGTAAATATCAAAGGAAACCGTGTTCGGAGAAGGTGGACAAACAGAGGACTTAGCGAGAAGTGCTTCGTGGAGGCGTTTGGCTGACGGCAAAGTCGTGACACACACTAAGTCCTCACACGATCCACACGAAACCAACTTGGCAATGCCACTGTCAACTAATGAATGCCTTGTTACAGGCCAGACAAGAAATGGGATCATTTTACCGCATCCACCATTGCATAATAATCTCGAAACCAAAACAACGCCAAGAGACACACTCGAGATCCAACGAGGAAAGAGGGCGGATGAGATCAGCCTCCCCCGAGAGCCAGTGACAACGCCAGAAGTAGTGTTTCCCAGGAATTGGCGCCTTCGCGGTTCGTACAGGCAGAGGGTAAGTGTAGGAGGGCGGGACATCAGCACAAAACTGTATGTCATCCACGACCACCTCCTCGCCATCTGGAATAACAAAGATCCAGTAGACAAATATGGAAAAGTCACCAAGACGGAGATGGCGGGATACAGTGATACAGTCGGAAGGAAGATAACAACAACGACAGTTAGACAAGGGTAGTTGCTACAAAGTGAGGAATAATCAGTAGAAGGAAAACAGACAAACAATAAGGAAAATGCAAGAATACAACAATCACGATCAGTATGAATATTTGGAGACGAGGGTAAATGCAAGGTGTGCGAGAAAATGCAGAGAAGCAACGAGAAAAGTAGATGCAACGATGCAAAGTGAACATACTGTCGTCCAAAGTAAGCGTGGGCTGAGCATCTAGAAGGGAGTTGGAGTGCCTGCCGGGGACTTGTGCGCGTTGTCGACCCGGGGGATAGGCACAGCTCCTCAGCGAGGTCAAATATCCCGGCGGGAGGCGCGAAAAGGGGACGCCGCTGGGCTCGTGGACGAGCTGGAAGAGCACACCTTCAGGCGGTTGAAAGAAAACCTGCGACGACGATGACTGCTGTTGGTCGGGCTGGGGAGGCGTCGGTGGACGCAACCCGAAGGACTGACTCGCGGCTGGACTTCCAAGGGTCAGCGCGACGCTACCAGCTGACGACTGTGCAGCCGAGGATGGAGTCCGGACCTCGCGTGCGGCCGCATTATCCATCTCCCAATGCAGAAACTGCTCCTCATACGGTGGCGGCTAGAAAGGAATGCCAAGTTGCTTGAAGCCACTAACTACTTTTCCAAAGATTGAGGTCTCAGTCAAGGACAGAAGTGATTTTGTATCAAGTGTTTGAATTACCAATTGGCGTGGCACAAGGCACTAACAACGTTAGCAGTGATTTAAGGCGTGACACAGGCAATAAGGCAACAGAGTACGAAGGAGAATCAAGAACGTGCTACAAAAGGGAACAAAGATGAAGACACAGCAAGTCTCTGGCTTTACTAACGACAACATTCTCCAAACCCTTGTCGAAGATTCGTATGTCACGAGGAAAAGCCTCAGTAGTCAAGCAACAACGTCGGTGGCCATCGACATAACGATGGAAAAAAATGCGATAGATGGGATTAAGGTAAGTTGAACCATTAAGAGAATCGATAGGGACGAAAATAAAGAATAAATGTTTTGAAATGCCAGGAAAATTTACAAATAAAGACAACAGGCAGCGGCATAAAACTAGAACGCACACCTACATGACTAAGGTGTCAATTTGTAATTTTATTCACTTGGTAATCGCCTAAATGCCCTATTATTGAGAAATGTAACCAGTCGAAAGCGATTGACATGGTTGGAATGACCATCATGATATTGGTAAAATCATGTGTATCGGAGAAGACCTTCAAAAGCACAAAGACTAAGCAGAAGGTAAACTAGTGGATTCCCTGAAAACGCCTATCAACTTATTCAAAAGCTTAAAAACCACTCATAAAAAGCGGCATGTCAAATATGGATAAAAGCAGAGAACAGAACTTTTGTTTGATCCACGGGCCCCTATCCTAACTTCTCTGCTGATCTGACAATTCGTGTAACACGACCATACAGAAAATAAACTTAGTCTACTGCTATAAGAGTCATCGCTGATGCTACTAACAAATCAATACACGATTCCGGTAAAACACATCCCAAGTGCGTCAGTTACAAAAGAAACCAATCGTCAAAAAACCCACAAATAGAGTGCCTAATGTTGCGAACAGAAGATACAAACACCAAACGATTCAACATTGGTGGGGCTGCATTCAGGAACCAAGGAGGTATAAAGGAAAGCCTTAACTAATGTACACAAAGGTGCGCTGCCCAGAAAAGTTAGCAATATACGGTAGTACGTTATTGTAGCCTACAGTTAAAACAACGAGACACGCTCTCTAATATCCAGGCGGTGTAAGAACTGGGAAGAATTTTAAGGCACTCATTTAATTACCCCGTCATTGACCAGACGGGGTTTCGCGTCGATATCCAGGTTCGGAGCAAAGAGTGAAATAACCCCGGCCTTAGTGGCCACAAAGAATCCGGGGCCGTCTGCGCCCGGGGAGGCTATGCAGCAGGTGATGCGCTGAGTTTGTACGCCACTTTCGACAGAAAAAGCGCTACGCAGCCTCCGTCTCTCGTCGTCGTCATCCACCGCAGGACCTGCTCCGGTTGCCTGGGGCAACGGCACCTCGAGACTGGTTGACTGGAGCCATGTGATGCCCAGGTCGGTGGTCACTTGCGGCGCCGGATAGCGGTAGAAGAAGACAACGGAGGAACTCCTCTCCTCAAGACGCCAGATGTAGAAACGACCGTCTGCACCCCCTGTTGCCAGGATCTCGTCAGAGAGAGGGGATGTTGCAACAGCGAAAACCGCTCCTTCATGTCCCTTGGGTAAAAAGAAAGCCACAAAAAACAAATACAGCAACAAGTAGATGATTTGGTAGAAATAAAACCAAATAGCATTTGAGAAACACAGAAAATGCAGTTACTGTGGCGAAGGTTGTCTCGAGGGCACACAAGCCTTGCTCCTCAAACGACCCGCAGACATAATCAGAATCCCGATGTCGCGAAGTGGTGCATTACAACTTGAGACACTAATGGGATATGAGTAGCAAAGCGTCGCAACAGTGCAACCAGTAACCTAGCAGTCTTTTGAACATTGGTACACCCTTAAACAAACTTCCATTCACACAGATCCACCATTGAAACAGTTTTACATGACGTCACTGAACCAATTTTCCGGGGGTTTCAACCCAAATAATTGTTGAACCGTTCACCCTAACTTTGCCAAGTAAATAGACCCGAGGGGTTTTCCCCGACAAGCGAGAAAACGAGAAGGAAATTAAGCCTGGAAGTAACTCCTAATAATCTAAAACGACGGCGTATTCAGTCATTTAGGATACGGGCACCCAAAACGACTTCAGAAACTTAACAGACTTACTTTTCTTGACAGATTCGGCATAAAAAAGGTTACTGCAGGTGCTTACATAAGGTGTTGCAATAAGTGAGAAAAATGTGTTTCCATAAGGTCAAAGCTTAGCCTACTGAGCAATGGAAGCGCAAGAGTCACCACATCTAATAACGCAAGTTTCATGCACCACAAGAAGGAACGAAATTAGCTGTCGTCAAGAAGTGTATCAGAATACGATCATTAGCGTATAGTTTTCCCAGGCTTTAAATACCATTGCTTAGTGAAGAATAAACGAAAAAACGGTCGTGCCACACAAATTGGCTGTAATTTGACGTGATGCTTGACTTCTCAATCGCGTTTATTTTGAGTAAATAAGCGTTAAATACTACTGCTGATAGGACTTGAACTCAGTTGATTACAATTCTAGGGCCAGAAAAAGGCTATGCATGTGGGGATTACCGTAAGAACACTGACGAACTCTCCCGTCTTCCCATCGAAAACATGCACACTACCACTCTTGAGGCAAACAATGAGGTAGGTATCGTTCCGGCTCCATCGCAAAATGCAGGGACGACTTTTGGGTCTAGGTAGAGAGGAAGAGAGGTCATTACCGAAACAATCCCCATCGAAATCAATATGCCCCAATGTGACTCCCTTATAGGGGATTAAAGTAATCGCAGTTAGCGTCAGTGACCATTGTCACTTCGTTTGGATAGATGTGAAATAGATTGAGAGCATCTTCCGGGTAAGTAGAGCTGTAAAAAGTCCTCATTCACACGCAGAACTCCGTGCACGCATCATAAATATCGCCACAGCATCAATATGTTTGAATTACTTTGACTGGCAATTATCTCGAGTAAACGAAGATCAGGCGCGCACGACAGTCGGGTGGAGAGCAAAGGCGTCGACACTTACCGTTTGCGGAGTTTGAGTTCTGTGCCAACCCAAGAGCCAGCTTTGAGGTTCCAGAGCCAACAGCTGCCGGCATCGGCAGACCCTGTGGCTAGTTGAAGTCCAGAATTGCTGAAAGACACACTATTTACACTATCCTACAAACGAAGAAAAACGACGGTGGGAATTTAGTCTGTGACAAGGCAATATGACCAACGATTCACAGGTGTTACCATTACTGTCAGAGGCAAAACCTTTCGCTAAGGAACTGGCGACCATAGCACTCGTTACTCGTGGTTTTTAACGGTTTACTTTGATATAGACGTGGTTACAAGAATCTCCCCAAGTTTACGCGCCTAACTTCTGTTTTACAGTTTTGCCCGCTATGAATTACAGCGCGTCCAAACACGAACATACCTCATGAGCTAGTAAGGTGCCTGCAGAAGTAGGCTGACCATCCTCGGAAAATGTGAACAATCTCACAACGTGATCGGAACATCCCAATGCCACGTAGTGGCCGCCTAAACAAAAAATGAAAATGCATCCGATGCTGAGGAGGGCGGAAAGACACGTCGAAATCAGAGACCAGACATTGTACAAAAACAGCCACCCCGGGGGAAAATGGCATTTAGAATTTAGTAGAACAGCACAGCAGGTTGAAAAGATGCAAGGACAAGAAGAAGTGAATTTGGCAAAACGCACCCGGACTAACATCTAACACAACAGCAAAGGAGTTGTTACGCGGGCCAGAATCTGACTCGTTAGTGGGGAAGGTTATTGTAGGGTGAAGTTTCAAACTGCAGCACGTCGTAATAAAGGTGTCTTCGCCCCGACGAAGCCTCTCTTCCTCACCGACAAGGGTGTGTGTGTAGCGAATAAAATGCAATCCACAGCCATACGACGATACAAGAAGCCAGCCAGACCTTTCGGCTATAACCACAAAAGTGCGCGTGATTAAGTATAGGGATTGAAGGAAGCGAGCGAAAGGCAAGAAGGCGGGAAGTTACCTGGAGACCCGGAGGGCGGTGGTGGTGGTGACAAAATCGGAATAAAACTTAAACCTGAAACGACTCTATTCCGACGCGACCCGCGAAAGGAGACAAGAGGTTGTCCGCTACGAAGACACCATATTACCAGCGCGCAATCAGCATCCACCGAAACAAGCAAGTGATTGTCAATTGACACATCAACTTCAATTATCTCAGCCAGATGACCCCGAAGTGTGTGACGCAGAAAGGGGGTACACAGATTACCATCGGAGGACTGGAGAGCCCAGATTTTAATGGTGTAATCATCAGAAGCCTAAATTATGAATATTTTAACGATATGGAAAGGGTGTCTACAAATGGGTTTTGAGTTAGATTCTAAATAAATAACCTACAAAACACACAGACTATTAAGGAGAAAAAAACAGGTAATTTGATGTGGACAAAAAGTAGATTTGTTTAAGCAACTTTCAAGAGTACGAAAATGGAAAATCACGCAACGTCAATCATAAACGGTGTTAAAAAATTCCTCAAAAAAAAACATTTTAGAATATATTAGCAAGCCTTAGTGGAGGCTTAAGGTGAGATTAAACATTTACTTACGAGGTGTTTCACTGGATAGCACTGTTAGTTCCAAAAGGGTGCCGATCAAATAATCCGTTAAATTTTAGAATAGGACATATCTTGGTTTTATGTTGTCAATAGAACCAAAAATAAGTACACCACAATAAACATTCCCTGCTAAGACGATAGATATCCACTTATACGATGCCATTTTATTAAGCACCAGGGTAGAATTGAAAAACAGAAACTAATTTCAACCTCTGTTTCTGAACATCAACAAATACATCTGCAAATTAATAAAGCACAGGCTACAAAATTTGCGTGCATAATTTCGACCTATTATGGGAAAGAAGTAAATCCATATGTTGCAAATTAAGCAATTTTATTTGAGTCAAAAACGATAAGTCGAAATCTGGCGTAGTTCAGTCTATTGGTACTGCAGTTCGGTTTTAGTTGTGACAGAAAATCCAACACCGAGTGTGGAATTTCACGCATAGATCAACACTTCAAAGATTTAAGCGAAAACTATAATAGTGTCGGTCAAGTTTTAAACGTTTAAAAATATGCCGGGGAGGGGTACAAATATTCACTAATTCCCGAGAACCTCGTGAAGTAAAAACGGCATAGGAGTGAGGTGTACTGAAGAACTATGCCAAAAACGCCAATGCCAGTGGAAAAAATAACGCTTAACAGTGGCAACGACACTGCGACTAGTAAAGCAAATTGTAAAAACACCATGATGACGGATACAAAATAAGACCAAATTGAGAAAAAAGCAAGGTTTTCGAGGACAGAAAATGTTGCCAATCGATATTTAATCTGAAGTTAAAAAGTCGATAATGCATAAATAGCAGGATAAGTCGAAAATCAACCACTCATGAAAACGCGTACCGAAATAAGGTATTCAGAACGGCGATCATACTTGAGGCAATAGATTGCCGAACGATGAGCTAAAACGTGCTGCCGAAGAGTGGTTTTGTAGTAAGATGACTGGCACAGTCGGTTCGTAAAGCCAGGCGAGTTGTTTCTTAAAAAACATTTCGAGGAACCACGGGCAAGGCCGAGTGTAGCAAAAAATTGTGCAATATCAGGATTCCGTGATGCTTTTTCTGCCCCTAGAAACATCCAAACACTAAGTAGAACGTACTTTGTGAACTAAGAAGGACCAAGAGAGAAGACAAAGAGCGGAGGCAAGCCGACCTATTTGCAGACGCAAAGTTAAAGTATTCTTTGCATATATAAACCAAGGAATCTGCATTGACGTCGCCATAAAGAGAATCCTGAAAGCGTATTAAAATCATGTACACATTACTAGATTTTCAAATGTATCCTCAACATTACGGCCACTGGGTGAATTCCGATGATCAATCTAAATTTTCGAACGTTGAAGACAAACCTACAACACCACGGTCTAAAAAGCGTTTTACAGCCTAGATCAAGTTTATATTCAGAAAATATAACAACCTCCGCACCGTCAACACATCCTAAGGACTCGAGAAGTCGTGCAATAAGGTAGAGAATCTCTATTAGCACTGAATAAAACGTAATCATAAAACAAACCAGAATTGTTCATTTTGCATTCCCAAAGAAAAGCTGCAAAACCACTTTATATTTTATTCACAGTCACACAAATTTCCTGTTTCTTTAGAAACAGCAACAGAAGCTAGGCGATGTATTCATTCGCAAAAAGAGCAATTTGACCGTGTATGAAAGGCTATATACACGTCGAAATACCAGTTGAAGACTATTCAGCCTAACTATTGGTCTCTAAAATAATTTCAAGCTGAGTAAACTTTGGTTTTTTCTCACTTTTTATGTGTGTGAATGCAATTTATTAGATCCATTAATGTTTGTCAATTACTCACAGGTTCCCAAGCAAAACGATTAATATTGTTAATGTTTTAGCACCATCATATCAAATACAAACTTAAAATTTTGACATAAAAAATGAATAATTCAAAACCCACGGAAGATAAATAAACGCAAATTTGGTCATTTATAGATTGGGTGGTTGCATGTCTTGCGTGATTATTACAACAAAGGGGATTAAAATATGTTACTTCGTTTTCAAACAGTAAGTCGGTAATTTTAAAGGTAATTATCCGGTTAACGAGGTTTTTACGATTTATGATGATATTCTTTAGAAGTGATGAAATTTAACTGAACCAGGTTATTAATTTCACATTCAGACGCAATTGAATTAAAGAAAGAAAAAGCTTTGAGGTGTTAGTCAAAAGGAATTAATACGACTGCTACGTAAATTGCTTTTTTGTGTAGGTAACATTTTTAACATTACATGCCTGTGTCTAAGTACTTTGTCAACAATATACGAAATCAAAATAAGCCCAGGCTAAAAAAAATACCGTGATTCTTATTCTAAAATATAAAAATTCATTTTGAGACATTTACATGAGCTGAAATTACCACAATCTAGGAATACTATGACATTAGGTTAAATAGGTTCGAATCATTAATGTTAAACTCTGCAGGATTTTGGCATAATGATTTAGCAACTAAAATATTTTACCAACATTATATAATGGTAGAAACCATAAACAAAATGTTCTATCTGTGTAGTTAGAACTTGCACATCAATTTGTTTCACTGATTAACAGCTTGTTTGTTGGCGTCTGATGGGTGCCCCGACTTTATGATTTCATCTCGCGTCGTTTAGGATGTGTTCAAAAGTCATTTGTCTTTTTGACGTTGATGGAACTCTTACGAAGCCTCGTCAAGTTGAGTTCTTTCTAGAATACACATACTGTATTAAAAATGGCTTTTTTGTCCTTTGATGAGTTGTTTTAATTCTTCGCTAGTACTTTCTGCGTTCATATCTTCATTTTTAACTATGCTATTGACAAAGTGCCATTTTGGTTTGCCTTTTATAAGAATATGCAACTTGTTTCTTTTTTCTCTTTCAAAGTGTTATTTTCAACTTTTACGTTATGTAATTTGCTCGGCACTCGTTTGAATGTCTTGTAGTGGGTCGCCTTTTCTAAATTATTTAGTCAATATGAAAAGGTTATGGTTTTCTTTTTTGGTTACTACTTCAAGATCTGCGTATGCCGTTTTATTATCGCTAGATTCTCCTATTTATTTTAATGCCTGATTGGTTTTTAATTCTCGTTACTTTTTTAATTCTTCGATTTCGTTGAACCACTTTTGTTGCATATTAATGACTACCTAAAATGTGTGATTGTGATTCCTCATCACCAATTTTTTTAACTTTAGATCATAAGCAGGGATATGTATGAATTCCTGTGTGATTTGGACAAACGAGTGACCGTAGGCCTAGTTGGTGGATCAGATTTGAACAAGATAAGCGAGCAAATGGGTGGGCTCACAGCTCTACACAGATTCAAGCATGTTTTTACTGAAAACGGTCTTGTTGCATATCGTTATGGCCAACTCGTCAGCTCGATGGTGTGTTTTCACATTCCTTATGTTTGTATTTTTATTTGGACTACTGTCACGACAATGGATTTGTTCTGTAAATGCTGTCCTACTAAAGGATTTAGCTACCATTTTTATGCTTTGAAAGTGTTTATTTTTTAAAAAAAACACATAAGCGAAGTGGACATCTTTTATTCCTGCATTATACCTGGTCGTTGGAAAGAAGTAACGATTCACGTTTTTGAAAACTGGTGATATTTGATTCAGATCATCCGCCATTTTTGGTGATACCGCATGCTTCCCATTATTGTATTTATTTTTTATGTTTTTATTTCAAAGCCTTTTACTCAAAGAATCTTCCAACGGAATGTCTCATAAATTACAACTAAATTTAATCATTATCTGGAACTGGAAGCTTTCCAAGCTCACTTTGCCGAAAGCGACATATACATATTAATTGTGTTTTGTTGATATGTATTCCATCACATGCATTTAGACCACACACAATGTCGAGTCTTCGGTATCTTTGGTTTCGACTGGAAATGATGCAATGCAAATAAGATTTCACCTAATGCGATACGTCATGTTTAACTTGGACTTTAATTATCGACTGACTACTTGTAAACAATTTTTTTTCCATATATCTTTATTTTTCAACACCACAATATATAACCGCATACTGACTATTTGAGCTGCTAAGTATCATTTTATTGCCTTGAATTTCTTGTAGTTTTAAATTTAAAAAGCCAAAGTATTTTGATTTTTAGTCCTGTCCATCTTTTGCTGATGCCTTGTCAATTATTTGAGTAGTGTTGAAGTTTGCTTGACTCATTGTTTTTTTTCGGTGTTAATGGAAGAAAAGATGGAGTAGGATGAATGCCTAAAGGAACCGGTTGCGCAACGTAAACGTATTATACATCGTAATGCTGCAGTTTTTGGTAGTTAGCACTTAAATTCACACATTTGTAGAAAGGTTTTCGAAGGGTTTGCTTTTTAGCTACCTTTATATTTCTGTACACTTTATTTTCTGGGGTTAAATCGAAATCAGTTAACATCAGCTATTTGCGTCTCACCTGGGAACGTAATATCTTGGACCCACCTACCTCTCTCGCCAGATTATATTAATTTCCAAAATTTAAATCCATTAACCGCAACGTAGCCTGCTTTAAGTATAAGCTGCTCTCGATTTGATGTCTGTGAGGTTAATCAATTTCGGTCATTATTGCATGGTTCGACTAAACGGTTAATCAGAGCTTTTCGGTATCCTGTCTCCTCAAATTTCTGTCAAAATGAATCGAGGTAATAGTAATGTTTAATTTTTTGTAATCCAATAATTGCTGACCCTGTTGCAAAGTACACGACTTTACCACACATCCTGCACACATCTTTTTTTCTCAATGTAGGATATTGCCTCACACCTAGGTGAGGATGTGCTGCAACGACTAATTAATTTTATCCTTCGCTACCTATCGGATGTCAAACTGCCGGTAAAACGAGGGACCTTTATTGAGTTCCGGAAAGGGATGCTTAACGTCAGTCCCATCGGTCGCAGCTGTTCTCAAGCTGAACGCGATGCCTTCTTTGCATACGATAATGTGAGTTGTTAATAGCACAACGTTTTTTTTGCCCTTTTGTTTTTTTTATTCATATTCTTGTTCGATGATTAAGTGGATGCCAATTTGCATTCCCTTTTCAATATGCCCAACACACTAATATTTCTATCCTAGTATGAATTTCCGAAACTCGAAGATCCCCTTATTTTATAATGTTATTTGGCTGATCAAGTAATTTTAGCTTTGCAGATAAAATGGGCGTTTTGTAAAGAGACAGGAAGGGAATTTTGGCGGTCTTTTTTGGTATTATGTTGCCCCACCTCTTAATTGTTACTGCCGAGTGATTTTTTTAGTGACTGGCTCTATTAAATCGTATGAACATAAATGGCTGTCGCATAATTAATCGCGCTTCAACCAATCGTCAATAATCAAGTTACATCGACTGCTCAATCTGGAATTTAGGCCTCTTGTTGTGGTTGTTAGCAAACATCAACAACACAACGCTGTGTTTGCTGGAGCACGTCCTACCCACCCTAGAGGCCACATCGAAGCCGAATCCTTGGCTTAATTTCGGTCACGCGTAAGTAGATTTAGTCACTGGCGCCTCAACAGAGGATTTTTTTTATGTGTATTCAACTGCGACAAAACCATTGTTTACTTAGAATTCAGTAAACCGTAATGTCGCCAATGCTAACTCAACTAACTCGTTTGGGCTAGTGTGAAGGTTTAGAGTCAGTGGGCCTTCTATAATTACCCAAAACACCCCTCTAACCTTAAGCCACTGTTGGCTACAACATAATCCTCGAAATAAACACACTATAAACCATTGATTCCAACTATTTTTGTGAATATCACGCCCTTAAGTTATTTTTTTATTTCACAGACTCATTTGCAGACTATCCAACTGATTTGCTGGTTTCACTTACAAAAAGTCACCAATATCGAAGCATTTTATTCTGTCTAATTTGATGTGTGCAAGGTGTCAGGTGATATGAACATTTGGAATTGCGCGGTTCTTCTATTTTTTTACACCATCTTTCCTTATGAGGAGGTCCCTCACCCCCTTAATCGAAAGGTCCACCAACGTGGCCTTGGCTTACTTCCGGGTTCGCATGTGATTGCTCTGTAATTGTGCAGGCCCGCTATGCCAACATCGAGTTTGATCGACGTATTCACAATGTAAACAGTGCCTGCTGGTATCTAGATTCAGGACGGTGTGTAAATTGGCGAGAACGTTAAATATGCGCCTGTCCAGTCGTACTACTTGTTTATTGGGATGATGTTGCGAATCTAGGGGAACATTTCTTGGCTGTGGTCACGGCTGGTGAATCCCGATTCTGTTAAATGGGTTAGTTGTTTAAACCCACGCTCTGGAGAAGATGTGGATTCCCGGGGCTTCGGTTTTTTAGTTGATTTCCACGAATGTCCGGTTATTCTAACAAAATTCTTTAATCCGGTAATTGGGCTTTTTTATTTGCTAGCCTTCACCGCCCACTACCACAAAAAATATTCTTATGTTGAACAAATCCGTTCGCATTACCCTACATAGACGCTTTGACTTGCGGTCTGCTTCAAGTCCTCCTGCTAGTTGGTTTGTGAAATCAGGCATCACGAATCCTATTATATGACCCTTCGTCTATTTGGGCTTCACCATAAGACGTTCTTATTTCTTCCTTAACCGTCTTGGTTTTGAAAACCATCCATGCCAGATGTCTCTGAATCACTATAAATGTGTGAACTCGTAAAATTGCCCTTGTTATCATTTCCCAGGAGCACAAAGTGCGGGAGAAAATGGTGCAGGCACTTCAAAAGGAATTCGCTGACTGTGACATTCAATTTTCAATCGGTGGGCAGATAAGCGTCGACATTTTCCCTACGGGATGGGACAAGTGCTTCTGCTTGCGATTCCTCGATGAATATTACACAATACACTTTTTTGGTGACAAGACCTTTAAGGTAATCCTTTCCTAACTGACATGTCTGTCAAGATATTTCTTAAACAGAGCCTTACCTCGCTGGATGGCTCTGCAAAGCACATCTAGGAAATAATGCTAGTGCTCTTGTCATAATTGTATTCCTGATCCACTGTCCTGACAAGACAGGACAGAAGCTGCTCTGTGCCGAGACCCGGACACATGCTTTTGTTCATGTTGCCTATTTTTGTGTGAGTTTTACACTGATAAGAGTTTGGTGTTGGTCGAATCCCAAACCCGTGATTTACGGGGCTACACGACATAATGTTGTTCTTGTTGTGGGCCCCAGCATGTGGTCTTGAACCACGCCGGGGCCGCTGACTTAAGCCTGGCCCGATTACGCTTGCCTGATACCTGCGGTAAAGGAAAAAGGCTGGAGAGGACGGACACAAGCGTTTACTTCAGAGGTCAACCACGTTGGTGTCGTTGTGTCGTGTATGGTGTTTGCGCGTGCGTATTTATAGCTCGGATGTGTGGGTCATACATGCGCTAACATCGAGACCTATGCGTGAGGACACTCCAAGGTAAATATTCGTGCTAATGAATGGGGAGTTGAGGATTCGAGCGGCTGGCGACATGCTGCGACAAGGGGAACCCTGTGTAGTAGGTGGATCGACCGGATTAGGGGGTTGAATAAACAGGATTCACGACACTCTGAACGTACCCTAATTTTGACGGGGACTTCTGCGGTTTGGTCCAAATTGCATCATTCCTGACAACTCAGGAATACGTTTAGCATTAATAACTGCCGCGTTTTACCGGGACATCTTTGGCAAACTAATAAACTGTGGCAGGCGATTCTCGGGGAACGAATAAGTCTGTAGGCGATGGTGGCACTCAACAGTTTGTTTGGCCTATCAACGTATGCGTTTTTAGGTTTTTCTGGGTCTCTGTGCTCACGCAGATGGGAATGTCGAGTTAAATGGGAAGGGAGTGAATTATCATCACCATCATTCACCACATCTCTTTTACCCACTTTTAAAGGGACGACTTAAACACGGTTTGAGGACACTTTAAGTGCCCTTCAAATTAGGATTTTGTTGCACTGTAAGAGGCAGCGATTCCATTTTAAACCACTCCAAATAGGATCATGGAGCTTTCGTAGAATCATCAGACGATGCACACTTTAAAGTCTTATACCGGGTTCTTTGCACGTGGAATCAATATCTGATTTCTTGAGGCAATTGCCCTTCTTTTCCTTCTGTTTTTGTAAAAAAATTTAACTCGGCCACAACAAATTAATGTGGACATGATGTAATCATCCATTCTCGCATACGTGTTCTCAGTTCGTATTTTACTGCCACATATTTTATTTGGCCTAAGGCCGTACCCTTGTGATCATTTTCTCCTTCACTTTATGCGTGTTTGTTTTTTTTATAGGGTGGGAATGATTTTGAAATCTTCTCCCACCCACGAACCATCGGCCACACTGTCGTGGACCCAGACGACACAAGAAAGCAGTGCCAGGACCTCTTTTTCCCCTGACACCTTTTCAGAATTTCTATTAATTCGTTGAATGTTTTAAAATTTCTTCTTTCTACAATCTTTTTATGATTAGATTTGGAGTTCGGAAATTTGTAAAGCATTTATAAATAAACTTGATCATGTTGTTTAGTAGTTTAATCAATGATCTTCCAAACATTTCCGCATGTCTATGGGTAAAAAATAGAAAAGTCTATTTCCTTGATTGTTTCAAAGCGTCACATAATTCTTTCTTGGTACAATGGATACTTGAGACTACCCTGGGTACTTTAAGGCAGTTCACGAAATGGAAAGGTCTCAACCCGTGGCTCATGCTTTGGTTCACGAAACCTGACCTCTCGGTGTTACGGATAGCTGTAGTGGCTCGCTGGATCTAACACTACCTTACAACCCTCTGGTTAACAGACCGTAACAACCCGAGAAGGGGGGGAAAGGAGGCGACAGAGAACTCGACCGTCTATTGGTGTCAAAACAGCCAAGTGATTTTTGTGCGCGCGCGTAACAGGCGAATGCTGACAGAGGCCAATAACAAAAGAGATGAGTCATTGGCCCACTCGGGCCCTCATGCACGGATCACTCACGCGAGGTGGACGTCTGTCCACTACATAGCCATTTGCCATTCAGAATTTAAGCCTCAGCATTGGTTTGGCCAATCTGTACTAGCACCTTGAGCCCGCTCAACAGCGCTTGAACTCGATCGACGTGCCTCAGTGACTTCCTGTACTGAATTGTCCGTCTCTTGTCTAAGGTCATGATACTTCAGCACTGTGAAACCCTCATTTTTCGGACATGTGTGCGACCAGCCTGTCTGCTTACCACGAACCCCAATATCTTCCTCCACGACAAATCACATCCTCACACTGTGTCAAGTCTCATATTGATGTACGTTATTATAGTTTCCCGATTTTGAGAGACCAAATTTATTGAAGAACCACAAAATTTCCCACCAGTTTGATAATAGGTTGGATCTTTCCTGTAGTTGTCGGTGAGGTTTTTCCAAGTACACAGAACAGCCCAGGTATATCTGCAGTTATACATAAAATCGTGTTTTGTCTGTTCCTGTATGCCTCACAGAATTAGCCATTCCTATAAATAACTTGTTCCTCGCGTTTTCCAACTTGACAGCTGCTTTAATGGACACACATTAGTGGTTACGTTGTTTACTTAAGTTAAACTGGGTGTTAGACTTGCAATCCTGGTTGTGTATGAACGGATTACTAACAAAAAGTTCCAAAATAATCTCGTGATGAGATCAGAGTAGTTGACCAGTTCAAGTAGGACTTCGAGGTGACCAGGAAACCCCGGGGATTGCGATGAAAACTCGCTATTTTATTGGACTGTTTCACAGGTGTGTTTTGCCACTAAGGTGCACACTAATAAATGCATGTGTGAAATTAAAAATGTGGGTGGGATGAAGCCACTTAAGGTCATAACAACGAGAATCAGCATGAAGGGATGGGAATCGAACTCAATAGGTATATTGTTGGAGCCTGACGCTGCCATTACCTCGCCGAGGCATGCAAAAGACCACTGCAGCAATATCATCTTTATTACCTTCAACACAATCTGTTTCAGTTGTAATGAAATGTATTAATTATAAAGTACAATGCTAAATGGAAAACTCTGGTTTTATAATTTACACAGTGTTAGTGCTAATAGATGCACTTGATTTGAAGTGCCTGCTGTGAATCGTGCTTATTCACACCCCTTAATCCGGGTTACCCTTTTCGCAGCATGTCACCAGCCTCGCGGATCCTTAACCCCCCCCCTCATTCGCACGAATATTTATCCTGGATTATCCTCACACCTAGGTCTTGGTGTTAGCGCATCCATGACCCATCAATCAGAGGTATAAATACACACGTGCTGACCCCACACACGACACAACGACACCAACGTGCTTGAGCTCTGAAGTAAAGGGTTGTGTCCACGTCCTCTCCGGTCTTTTTAATCATTGCGGGTATCAGGGAAGCGTAATTTGGCTAGGGTTAATTTAATGGCCCCGGCGTGGTTCAAGACCAAATGCTGGGGTCCACAACATGCTATCGTCGCATTCGAATGCAAGGCAAAAAACGGAACAAATGGGCGGCTATATATACATCACGCGGCGATTACACAGAAATGGTAGCTAGGTGACGTACAACTTATAGAAATGCGTTGTAAGTCTGAATGAAAAAGAGTAAATATGGAAAACTGGCTGTTTATTGATTTGCTAGGCGAGGATCTTCCATTTTTAACAAGCATTTGAAAGAATGCAAGTTGGCGTTACTAAAGATAATAAGATTCAGAGTGAAAAGATTAGAGACATGTAAACAAGCTCGAATTATGTGTGCTGAAACGACTTGTTTGATTTTCGCACGGTAATTCGCCTGGTACGAAGGAACTAACTATCCGAGATTTGGCATCTTGCATGACCACCGAAACAGGATTCATGTATCAGGCAGACGTTCTGACACATTATCTTCCCCCATTCTACTTCCACGAGCTTCTTCGAGACTGTGCATGTGGTTACCATGTCATTTTCGAAATAGCTGCATATAAGTAATTAGCCCCAAAAGAACTGTTGTGTCCAAGAACGTCTTCGATTTGAGTGCCTATCATGTTATCCGGGTAGAAGTTTCCCCAACTATGTTATCCATTGCTTCATACCCTGAGAAGTGCATTTATAACGTCGTCTTACACCGCTACTTTTGAATAAATTCAGTTTTATTTGCACAAATTCTTTCTTTCGAAATTTTCGCCCAGCTGTGTGCTTAGTTATTACGAAGTCTGTTTCTATGAATTCAATTCTTACCTAAAATACAAATTTGATAATAATTATTCACCAGAGGCTTTGTGCAGCGATTATGGTTGATAACCTGACAAACTTTTGAATGGGAGGTAGAGACCAAGGAGTTATCACGCAAGCCACTCTGCAGGTGTTTTATTGTGCTCACAATTAGCACTTTTACATTGGTAACCTCAGTATGAGTCCCCGACTTCGTCTATTATCCCAACCCGAAATATTTGATTCAAATTTTGTTACTTGCAGGTCTGTCTTCTTTGGTGTCAATTCCGGTATAAAAATCAATGTCATAATTAGCCATAGCGTCGATAAAGTAATTTTGGCAATATCTTTCATGTATCAATAAGATTGGTGTTTGAGTAATAATTGAAAATTAAAATACAAACGTTGGAATGTTAAAAGGAAACTGCTGCACAGTCAATTGTCAAATTTTTGGTCTTAAATAATCTTAGACTTTTCCTGTGCAGGAACAAGACAATGTGGGAAGTAAATATATCTTCCTGAGCGTGGGCTGCAATCCAAATCTTTTAACACAAGTAGAATCATTCCCCCATTCATGATATCGGCAATTCAAATGCGGTCATCACAGGAGCTTTATTAAAGTCATTACAGCATACAGTAACATGAAGATCCATTTATTAATATATATCTCAGTCCATCAAATAAAGAGTGAATCACATCGGTTTCTTAATCCGAGGCAAGTTTAAGCCATACGCACTTCTGTTTCATCCATTAAGAAGACTAAGTGTGCACATTACTCAACGCCACACAAGATGGGCTTCCCACAATTACTTTGAATATGTCAGCAACTCACTCCTCATGCATTGTGACCTGTCCACAGCTAAGTAAAAGCCATTTTATTCAAGGCACATGCCCAAACATTGATAATAAACCCATGACCTAGTAAATGTTTCAATGGAAAGCTGGTTAAATAGTACATTTTTCACCTTTTTATGCCAAATATGAAAAAATATGCATTTACTAAATGTGGACAAATTGAATACCATGTATATTGTCCTTTAACGTTGCTAAAAATTACTTCGTCATTCAAAATCCAGTAATCCCGATTTAAATTGTAGTTTCGCCAATTTCGGGCCTGCTATTAAAGAAAGTCACGTTAACAGATAAGTACAGTTCATTTTAAAACTCATTACTGGGTTAATTGGAGTGTTAAATGCCGATTATCAGTACATGAGTATTTAGACAATTGCAGGGAACCAAAAATTCAAAGGGGCTATATTTTCTGGGTGATAAAATTTCTTCTGCCAAATCAAGTTGTTTGGTTTCTCAATATGGACCCATTAAGCTAGAAAATGTGGATTTTTAGAGTACCTATGAGGCTAGCTTATAAGGCGTGTATTAGAGGACTTCCCCGTTTCACATTACGCTTAGTGTCTAATTATATTAAATCATTAAAATTAGATTTTACAATTATGACTTTTTTTAAGACCCAGAGAAACGAAATGGTCTTCCAAGAATCGTAATGCATACGTTATCTCATGATAAACACGTAAATGGAATCGACTTAAAATCAAAGCCTAGCACATCTCATTAGAAAAAAGCAACTTTTGTCTTAAATGGTTATCTTAGAAATATGTTAAAGGAATCAGTTTGTGTAACCAGTAAATATACTTAAGAATATTCAGTTAAAAAACTGCTTGAGACCCATGTTTGTTTAAGCGGGTTGTGCCGCTTTCCCCCGCCAAACCATTGTACCTGTTTTGGTGAAGGTATGTTATCTGAGGCCGGGGCACCTCGTTGTCCTGTGTACTCGCCGTCCAAACGTTTACTGAAATTGTCGTGTCTGACGTCATTTATGCGTTCATTACATAATATAATTATTTTACTCGACATAAACATCTCTTGACACGCATGCCCCATTTTGGTTCGTGATCTAAGCAACTGAAAAATTCATCCCGTACCACTAATGTGATGGTGAGTCAAGAGCCTTAAGTCTGTTTTTACGTCTGCCTATAAAAGTGTGTCAGTAATGTCCACAAAACTCATTGCTGCTCGTTATCTTTAAGCAAAATGGCTGATTCTGACGATGACTCTGAGCTTCGACGGACCAGGGATAAATTTCGTCGGGAAAGAAGTGACGTCGACGGCCGAAGAGAAAAACGGGAACCATTTGACGAGCGTGTGGGTGCTGGTCATTCAAATGCTAGTAGGTCGCGCCTAGATCGTCGGCTACCGTCTGATTATCGACCCTTCGGTGGGTCTCGTGACAGACCCCAATTCGGAGGCGATTTACCTGCCAAACGGCCTCGACGTGATTGGAATGATGATCACCGCCCATCTTATCGTTCCAGAGATGTTAAAAAGGACTTCATTGATGAGGAAACAAACTACAGGCCTCCGCTCATGCCTTTTAAGCGGTTTCTGGAACCTTTGGACGACTTCATTACGGATGAAGAAGCGCTAGCAAAGTACAAAGAATACAGGGAATCCTTTAACAAGCGTTATATAGAAGAATTCTTCGAGGCCCATAAGGACGAGGAATGGTATGTGTTCTTGTGTGAATGATTTTTTTTCTGTTTTCAATTTCGTAATTCTACTCCTTTTGTTAACTAGGCTTAGAGAGAAATACCACCCAGATTTCATGGATAATACCCGCGAGCAGATCGCCAAAAATATTCGACAGAGACTCGATGTTTTCCTAGATTTGTTCGACAAGGGGATGGTTGATAACCAGTCCGTTGAGGTCGAAAACTCTCAGAACCTAATCAAGCTCATGGACGCAGTTGTAATCAAGTTAAACGGAGGAACGGATGAGGATCTTGCCATTTTGGATGAACCGGCTGTCAAAATTGGAGAAGATAAAGTTGATCACAGAAGTCATAAAAAAGAGGTGCGTTTCTTGCTCGTTTCCTTAAGATAACACCTGTGTAATGCGCGTTTGTACTGGAATTATTTCCACCTTATGTTCAATTCCAATGTAGGCCCCTAAGAAATTGCTAAATTAGTAGAGTCATCAAACGTTTCTTTTCTAGTCTCACCGCGATCACAGTAGTATTAAGAGTGAGGAAGGCGAGGATTCTGATTTTGAATCGGATGAAGAATCAAATGCGCGAAAATCTTGTGCAAAGCCCATCCCATCCCCACATCCAAAAAATTCGCCGAAGAATGAAGTCCAGGCACCTGGCAATGACTGGACAGGTGTGAGCAGTGAGAGCGAACCTGAGGAGAAGTCAAAAGTGGAGGAACCCACGCATGATGACGAAGAAGACTACGGAGGAGATGCAAGAGAATCCGATACCGAAGTATTCAAAAAGGATGAAATTGAGAAGTCTAAGTTATCTCCTCTTTGTAAGCCTACTTTTTGTGCAATTATTTGCGATGTTTCGTATCATGTTTTCTTGTTTCATTTGCTTTGTGTATTTTTTTTTACTATTCTTACAACTAACCCATCACGCGCAATTTGTAAGGTCTCATAATCATTTAAACTATTGTAACAGCATATTAAAGATATGTATCCACTGATCTTTAGCACTCACTAAATCGCCGGATAGAGATGCGAAAAATCATGATGTAAAATCCGATGAATCAGAAGATCCCGTTCAAGGGCAGTCGAAATCTGATGAGCCGCTATTACAAAATGTTGACTCCGGAGCTGAGGTTCCTGCGCCAGCGGTTACAGATTATCCAATGGAAGACTTTCCTGTCACCGAATGTGGTGTAGATTCATCCGTTGTTGTTCCTTCTCCTGAACAGAATGGGTTAAAGTCTGCGTTACCAAGACGTGATCTTCACAAGACTTCGTCTATATTTTTTCGATGTTTACCTCCGACAATTACAAGAAAGGAACTGGAAGATATTTGTTCATCTCAGCCAGGTTTCATTCGGCTAGCAATATACGATCCCATGCCGGAGCGTCGGTTTACCCGCCATGCCTGGGCGACTTATAAGCCCAACGTTAATATCAAGAAAATCTGCTGGGCACTGAATACGAATCCCTTGCTACGAGAAAAGTGGCAGCAAGGGAGTGGAAACAATTCAAGTGATCTCTGCGCCACTGTTAATCGGGATTTGGCTCAACGTGTTCGCCCCGTGGCTGCCGCGCTAACACGACATAGGCCAGTGATGCGCAATGATTTGCGTATCGCCTCACGTCTCATTGCTCAACTTGATGCAAAGCACAGTCTCTGGTCACTTCCTGGAGAGGAGGACAATGAAGCCGGAGGGACTGCGGTTACCAACGCTTGCCCTGTTCCTGGCTTGCCAGGAATATTTTCCGCAAACCCTCTAATGCGAAACTTGACGGACTTCCTCGTTGACGAGACTGCTTCAGAAGAAGAGGCCATGCTAAGTAAGTCGGCGTTAAATTACGGGGTGGCGTTTCTCACAATTCCCTAATATTTTGGGATGTTTAGTAATTATCGGGTATTAGTAGTGTACTTGTTAGTTCACCACATGGTTTTCCATGTATAGTGACTAACCATCCAAAGAATTTCCTTCAGGCAATAATTCGAAGGGACGGAGTAACGCTGACTCCAATGGGGATAAGCTTGCCTCGGCGGTTCCTCTAGACACTGACCCTTCTCTCCTGCGTGCTCTTGATCGACTCATCATCTATCTGCGCATTGTTTATTCTATCGACTACTATTCTGCAACTATGTACCAATTGGAGGACTTGATGCCCCATCGCTGTGGAATTTTCCACGCACGCGGCACTTTAGACACTCGTGGCCCCACCCCTCCTACCGTTACTCAGCGCGAGATCAGCGATTACATCAGTGTAGGTCCTTGTATTTGTTTGCAAAAGGCTTAACTATAATTGTGATCCAATCAGTGGTTTCGAATTCAAATTGTTTTCAGACTCGAAGTCGACAAGAGAGGTCAATCCCATTGGCCGTTTTTTGCTCTTGATGATGTTGAAATTTTTTATTCGTCAAAGCTTTTTACATTGCTGTGATGCTTTTAATTTAGGTATTTAACGAAAAGATGGCCAGTTTACTTGAAGTCCCCCGTGACTTGACTGATGAGGAAATCGCTGCCCTCGGTGCACGAGATCCAGAAAAGGCCGCCGAGGACTTTATTGAGGCAAACATTCAAAAGCGCACAAGCAAAAAGAAACCGTATGCTTTGTCCATATTTTTCGGAAATACATTGAGCAGTTTTTTTATCAAAGACCTTGTCACAAAAGCCGTTAACTTTGTTTTTTGAAAACCTTCATATCCCATTTCCTGGACACATGTAATCGTTTTACGTTATCTGCTGAAAGCCAATTGTGTTACGTAGATTGTGGCACGGTCTCTAACGCCTTGGTTATCGATATATTTTAAGGTAAATGAACGTCTCAACCTGCACAACCGGCTTAGCAATTTTTATAGTTTTTAAAACCTATTAAGCTGTGATTATTCCCCTTCCTATTAACTGGCCACTCGACAGATCACTGTTATGAGGGATGTAGATTTCGGTAGATGGGTCACAGATGTACTTGGTCCCAAGATTGTTGCAAGCTGCGGTTGCGTAAGATATACCTCTGGTCATAGTTTTTAAGACCCCAGTGAGCGTTGCTACTTACTGTTGCTTTTTACAGGTATAAAGTCGTATGGGTGTGCCCGTTATCGGATAAGAAGTTCCGTGAACCTGTTTTTGTTCGGAAGCATATTCTTAACAAGCATCTCGAAAAGGTGGAAGCTGCGAAGAAGGATAATGTAAGTTACTGTTTCGAATATCTAAATTTGCTCCCACTTTTGCCTAATCAATGGAGGCATTGGCTTGTAAATATTGTTCTTTCTGGACTCTAGGATTCCTGCTCGCATTTAGCCTGACCGCTTGCCAATGTGGTGGGTGTGTATGCTAAAGGTAAAAATGGCCATTACAGAGTACCACAGTTGCCCACGCACCACGTTCACCTTCACCCGGCTGATGAAAATTAAAGTATTTTCGGGTCACAATACACTTCAAGCACGGTTTGTAGGTTCGATAGTTCCTGAGTTAGGTGTCATTTTGAGGTTGTCCCAGATTTATGGGTCTGGGAGCTCGTCGTACAAGCTTTCCATTTTCGGCCACTAATCTGAAAACCGCACGCATGTATTTAACGAGTCCTTCGATAATTCGAGCTCGTAAAACCCTCTTGCACTTCCTTACAGGCTGTTTTCTTTAACAACTTTTTGCGGGATCCCCGACGACCTTCGCTACCTGAGGCTCCGCGTCATCTCATCCAGCGATACTATCCTCCACCCCAAACTGGCGGTGGTGGACCGGGTGAAGTTGGAGATCGCGCTGTTGGCATGCGTGGCCGCAATCTTGGTGGGTATCGTGCCGGTAGCGGTGGCGGTTATCGAGGTGGCGGTGGTGGCTATCGTAACAATCCGGTGGCATATGGACGTCGTGTAAGTCTGGACAACATCGAGCACTGTTGTGCATCCATTCGGTACCCGCACCACACGTGTGGGTCCCTGGGGTTATGTACTTGAGAAGCTAGCTGCTTGGTTGCACCATCAGGCTGCATTGCACGCCAAATTTCTTGATATGATTAAATTTGTGAAATTATTGCAGGAGTTTTACGGAGGCGATGGGGGAGGAGGCAGTCACCAAGGCCTGGCAGCAGCGGCTGCTGCAGCAGCAGCCGCCGCTCTCTATCCCAACTCAGCTCCCACGGCGGATCTGTATGCTCTGGCTGCCCTTGGTGGGGGTGGACGTGGTGGAAGTCCCCGAGGTGGTGGAGATTATGGTGGCAGGTTCAATGAATACAATAGTCGCAAGAGACCCTACCCAGGGGACAGGTCAGTTTAAATGGACAATTTTTCTTGGCCCCAATAGTCTTAATGGTTCAGAATCCCCTTGTATTGACTGGTGACGAGTCTGTTCTATTCAGGTTGTCGTTGTTCCAGAACCATGCCTGTATGTGGTCAGTATAAGGGCAGTGCTCAGTCATAACCACATCAGCTTTATGACTGATATCGTCAAGTACCCTGGACCATTTTAAACAGATTGCAAAATTAGTTAATTAGTTTAATGTGGAAGGAACGCTTATTGCGTTTATATTCTTGTCTTTTGTATGAGACAATGTTGCATAATTTACAGACACAGGCCTGGTGGTCGGAGCGTCATCTCCTACAACGATTTGGACGACCCCGGGAATGATGGTTTCTAGCGCCGGAGGTACCATCTCTAGATTCCAATGTGTTTCCCTCTCCTGTATAGAACCGGTTCAATCGCATTTCCTACATAGTTACCAATTTACCAAGTGTCCTAATGGCTATAAGCATCCTTGCCCCAATGACTCATTTTTATGGCCACATGTTGTATCTTGAATACATTCGTGTAATAATTTGAATTCCTCTTTTGTTAAGTGACGCCTCGTGCCTTAACGTGTCTAGCACAAATCCACGTTCTCTTGCCATTCTAAAGAGGAATCTGCATAAGGTCGATCGATTCCCCTACGCACCGGTTAACCGTTCAATAAAGAGGAGGTTTAGTTAATTTAAGTCGTCCACTAAATCGGCACACGTGAACTAGCTCGTACTCAACTGCATGGGATTTGGTTTGGGGTGCGTTCGGGTGGAGCTCGCTCCAAACATTGAATCAACAGTAGCAGCGCAAGGGCGACAGGTAAGATTGGTTGCAGTGCGATAGGGAGCCTCGTCGTCGTGATTCAACACCAATAACCAGGATCGTAAATGCCAAACTAACAATGGGGATGTCGAGAATCGTCCCCTTAAGGAAAAGAAAGGCGATTGAAAATCATACACGTTGTTACTTGAATAGAGAGCTAAAAGTTGGGCAGAGTTGCCCGAGGTCTACTTTTCCATATCGTTCCAGTAAAGTAGAAAACATATAAACAGACAGACAAGCGGAAGGCGGGGGCAGTGGAGCACAATATATCAAAACACATTGTGACCTAGTGGTATGTAGTAGGGGAGTAGGGGTTGAGGGTGGGGGCGTCATTTGTATCGTCAAACCGATCATAGATGACCATTTGTTGGTGGTTTTGTAGGATAGAGCACAAGTTCTGCAAAAATACCGAAAAAACAGGACTTAGTATTGGCAGAGCAAGTTCATCAAAAATGCGTTAAATAAACAACAGTGCCGTGTGGGATGCGAGTGCGTGATCGCACTATCAAATGGCAGGTTTGTGATTAGCGTTTGGGAAAGTTTGAAATATGAGGTCGCGAGACACTGATTTCCACTATCGAGTAGTAGTTCCACGTGGACAATGAGTTTACGCCAACGTTGTTGAACGGGCGGTTGAATGGAAGCACATGGCCTTGGTATAAAGAGAGGTGTCCAAATATTTTCAATCACAATCGAGAGTTTAGACGAATAGGGAAGCTTACGGTTTTGAGAGCCTGTGTATCAAATTGCGGGCCGAGGGCTTGTTTGGCTCGCTGAGTGACGTGGAAGATGTCGCAGTGAAGTGCAGTCAGCTGACTGACCGACCAGCCGCGTGTGGCCATGACGACCTCGTGCAGGAGGGCAGTCATCGTCGAGCGAAGCGAGTTGAAGAGACTGGCGGTCAGCTGGGGCGCCGGTAGTGGAGGCAGCTGAAGTGCCTCCGCCACGGACGAGGAGGAGGCGGGTGTGGTTTGTGCGTCGTCGTCGCTGGTGTATTCGTCGGAGGCACTGCCATTTAGTACGGCTGGTGGGCGGGGAAAAAGGAAACTGGTGTGAGTTTTCACGCGCCTTTGGTTTGCATCTTACGGTTTCTGAAGTTAAGACCCACTTAAAAAATCGGTTGTGCCTTGTCTAAGGTGCCCTGCTCAATCAACAAGCGATAGAAGAGGAGCGTGATGTGAGCTCAAAGTGACTCAAAAACACTATTTTCTGAACCTTAATAGCCACGGATCGAATAGGTAGGATCGTTACACAGTCAAGAAAAACCAACCATTGTTACCTGCGACGGGAGACTGAAGAACGCTGTCAATGTGTGCAATGTCGGCCGCGTCCGAGTTGACCGTCTAAAGGCAAAATGAAAGACCAAGTTATTACATGGTGGTTATTTGAGAATGCACCATCATATGAGCCTAGCTAGGCAATGAGTGACGGACCAAGTGGTTAAGCTAGGCTGCGGGTGACCAGAACGCAAGAAGAGAGTGTCCCAAGTGAGAAGGGGATAGGGGCAAACAGGGGCAGATTTAGTAATGAATGGAATAAAAAATAAAGACCTTTTCAGGAAAATAACTAATTTGCAAAATAAAGGAGTTTGTTTCAAAGAGATTTAATTATTTCCGCCTTCGATTGCCCAAATTTTGAGGCCACGAAACCGGCTATGGTCGAATACGCATGGACTCATAACTAATCGCAAATAAACACCTTCCACGAAAAACGTCTTAGCGGCCCAGTAAAAGATCGTGCCTCCGTGGATTTTGGTCTTACCGAGGTGCAACAGGCCCACTATGTGAGTTTTAGTACTACATCGGGGCTAAACACTTGCTTGGCAAGCCGAAATCAAGGGGGAATCCACCTATAAAGCATTGGCGCATGTCACAATGCACTTCGCGTCAAATCGTCACATGACAGAGTGGTCAGATATCCCCAAGTCAGGCACGATGGCACTACTCACAAAGATACTAGAAGTCACCATTTGTTCGGTAACAATATCATCACCGAACAGGCCACGTATTGCATGGTTGAGACAGATTCGCAGATTATCAAAAAACCAAATTTTCGATGACTGCAAGTCACTTATTTGGCCTACTTCACCACACAGCACAATAAGACATTCGTGTACTAGAAACACAAGGAATGGTGAGATCTTAAAGAAGTCCGGTTCGTAGTAATGCACGTGAAAAACCAGTGAGGCCTTACATCGTTGGCGGTGTCTTGAGGAGGAAGCGGGGGTTGTGTGGGTGGAGGAGAACGAGATCGATGACGTGGCATTGGAGAATGCGAACGAATTAACTGGTTAACCTCTTCTGGACCAAAAATTGGCTCCTCACCCTAGGACAAAACAACGAGCATTTCGGAAAAAAGGCTGTTACAAAGAAAGAAATAGCAAAAGCAGAGGGAAGTTAGATGACCCTCATTTCCCGAACATGAATTCCTAAAAACAGTCAGCTATGGAAATGTGAAAAATCCATAACATGTAGCAACGGAAACGTTTGCTTAATTAATCCCATCGATTATTTTCCGATTTCAAGTTAACAATAACGGGGTATTCTCCAATTTGATAGGAGGGACCCTGATCGGGTCAGGTTCTGCCAGCGGCATGAAGAGACGCGATGCAGGAACCTCCAAGTGAGGATTCATTGATGGCAGACATGGACACAGGTGTTGTGAATCGTGTTTATTCATATCCATTAATCCGGTCGTTCCATCCTCTGACACGGGGCTCCCCTTTTCGCAGCATGTCGCCAGCTGCCCGGATCCTCAGCCCCCCCCTCATTCACACTATTTATCTTAGATTATCCTCACACATAGGTCTCGATGTTAGCGTATCTATGACCTGCCCATCTGAGGTATAAATACACACGCGCTAACCCTACGCACGACACCAACGTGGTTGATTTCTGAAGTAGACGGTTGTGTCCACGTCCTCTCCAGTCTTTTTCTTCATCGCGGGTATCAGGGAAGCGTAATCGGGCCAGGGTTAATTCCG